ATAATAAGTTAATTATAAATATTTAGTATTAGAATTGATAATTAAATCAAAGTATATATTTGTATAATATTAGTTAAAAATAATTTTACATTTAATAGTTTTAAGCTATCGATTATACTTCCTATAATCGACAGAAATGGCTGTTGATTATAGCAAGTATATTCGATAGCCATAATGGCTGTCGATTATACCTATATAATCGACACTTTATTATAATCGACAGAGTTTTTGTCGATAATATAAATAAAATCGACAGTTTTTTGACTGTCGATTATATTTTTGTCGATTATATGTTGTTTTCTAGTAGTGGTGTTCAAGATTTAAACCTAGCATTTAAAGAAATTAATTTTATTAAATGCATTAGGGCTATGTAAGATGTGTGCTCCTAAAATTAAATAGAAAGAAATTAGTTTTAAAATCTGTAAAAAAATTGATTCAAGAAAATTCTAACCATAAATAAAAAAGTAGAAATAATGTAAAGCACAAAGTGAAAGAATTTCTTAGACAGTTAAACTACCCTACCTAAAATAAATATGAACAGAACCTTCAATTTTCTTTATTAAAAGGGGAAAGGAAAAGTAAAGCACAAGAAAAAGAAGAAAGAGAAAGCAGTGCAATGAGACATTCACACTAGAGAGCCATTATAAATATACGCTGTTGGGTGTATCTGGCCATCTTTGCTGAGCGTTCTCACCAACACTATCTTTTTCTCCTTTTTTGACTTTAGTTTCAAAGCTTTCAGGTGCTTAAACCAAAGTGTCAAGAATCTTGTTTGTGCCACCTTTAAAAGTGGCTAAGTATGAAGTCTATGGGCCACGACAAATGCATTGGATGAAGACATAGGTTGAAACTCGTTTATTAAAAGGTTTTAAGGCTATCGGATGGAGTTTAAACCTTTAAGAGAACTTGGCATCTTAAAGAATATATATATAGGAATTTTATACCAAATCAATTTGGATAGTTGGCTTAGAAACTTTGCATAGTTTAAATCCATATTGTAAAACTTAGTGGAAGTGTTCATTGCAAAATATCAAAATGTAGATGGTAGTTTCTATATGAGATCCTAAACTCCTAATGCAGTTTAACCATATAACATGTCCATGCCTTAGAAAACTTGCCAAAACAATTAGGCCTAAGAAGTTATGGGTAGAGTACGAGTTTGTCTTACCAAGTCTTAGGCACTGGGGCAAACACTCCTACTCTTAGGCCACAAAGCACTCCTCTATTCTAGGCTTAGGGCTAATATGTAAAGAATAGTAATTGATATGATGAGCTAAAGCACAATAAGTACATGTTATAGACAAAGTCATAATTGAAATTCAGTTTAGTCAACACCATTGAGTGGTGGTAGAAATTTTGTTCCTCACTTCCTTGTCTGATACTTAATGATGTTCCTTTTCAACACCTTGTAACAAGCTTTAAACTCCTTAAGCCATAATGTGAAAAGGTAATATTGTTTTTGCAATTTTTCATTTAAAATAGGTAGCAATTGGTGTAAGGATCACAACATCATTTTCTTGTTTTATAATTTCATGTGTGCATCTGCAGCCAAGATTTCTCAACGCAAAAGTAGAATGGCTGAAACTATCCTCAGTCCTATCATTGATGAGGCAGTGTCCAAGCTAATTTCCTTTGCTGCTGAAAAAATTTGCCTTGCATGGGGTTTCGAGAAGGAGCTTGTGAGCCTTAAGGAGTTGCTAGTTATGATTCGATATGTTCTCCAAGATGCAGAGAATAAATAAGAAGGTGATGATGCTATAAGGCATTGGCTGCAGAAGCTCAAAGATGTAGCCTATGATGCAATGGATGTATTGGATGAGTATGCTTATCATCTTCTCCAACTGAAAGTAGAGACTCAAGGCCGAAGGAAGAAACAAGTGTGTTTGTTCTTTTCTCACTCTAATCCAATCTTGTTTTGTCTCAAAATGGCTAATAAGATTAAGAAAATTAATGAGACTCTAGCTAAAATAAAAGGAGATGCAGTGTTTCCTATGTTGAGTGGAGGCAAATTAACTTGGCATGTTAGTCAAAACCCCAAAACAGATTCCTTCCTT